GGAAGGAACGAAGGAGAACCAGAACCACTGGTGCTCAGCAGCCACCTTGTTTGCTTTAAGCTTTTAGAAATTTTGTGAAATTCTCGTCCATGTGAAACATACCCAGAAAACTTTCTGTTAAAGGTATTAAACTTTTTGTTGTTTTGAGTGTTTTGTGGTGGTTGGTTTGTTAGTTAGTTTGTTCGTTTGGCAGGACCTCACTATATAGCCCTGGCTGGCTTAGAGCTTCCTGCAGTCCTCTTGGCCTGAGCCCCTTGCCCCAGCTCCAGGATTACAGGCATGGGCCACCATAGCCTGCTTGGTTTTAGCTTTATGAGTTACTTCTTATACATCCTACCACATCTCTCAAACTATTCCTCTGCTGAAATGATCACAACATTGAAAAAAAACATATTTGCTCAAAGCCATTCAGGTAACTTAAAAATATAAATTGAAAAATTCTTAAATCCAGAACTATATAGTATTTGGCAAATATCAACATCAATACACCTGTCCACACAAGAGTTCGAGAAGCTAAGGAAGGATTATATTCTGTTACACAGAAGTATTTAGTCAGCAATAATGTGAAGCTCACATAGCTACAGGAAATTCTAATTACAAAGGAATGAGAAATGTCTAAGATGATGGACAGGAGGCCAGAGAGATAGATGGCTTTGTCCATAAATGGCTTACTCACACGCATGAAGACCTGAATTCAGCTGCCTAGCACACCTGGAAAGGCCAGGTGTGTCAATACATGTCTCAAGGCCTAACTCTGGGTAGTGGGAAACAGAAGGATCTCCAGAGCTCACTAATCAGTCTATCCAACTGGAGAGGTCCAAATTCAGTGAGTGACTGTCTCAAAAAGTAAAGTGGAGAGCAAGGAAAGCACCCCACATCAACCTCTGGCCTCCTCACACATGTGAACATACATGTGCACACAAACTTACACACATGAATTCTCCACACACAAAAGGTCATGGGTGAACTATTACACAATGGAAAAAAAAAATACTGAAATACAGTGTAATGACACTGTACCTCATAAAGGTATAAAATTATCTCTTAATTAAAATTCTTATTTTTTAAATAGAGAGAAAAATACTAAATTCCTATTTTTTTAATGGTAGGGAAAGTAACTAATAATTTTCACCAGGACTGAAAAGATGATCAGCAGTTAAGAGAGCACTTGCTGCTCTTCCAGGTGACACACATGACAGCTCATAATCATCTATAACTCTTCTTCTGGAGGATTCCACACCCTTTTCTGGTCTCTGCAGGTACCAGGCACACATGTGGTATACAGACAAGCATGCAAGCAAACAAAACAAAACAAAACAAAACAAAAACAAAAACAAAAAAACAAAATCCATACATATAAAATAAAATTAAAAGAATAGAACTCACTGATTTCATATTAACTGTCTGGGGTGTAGGTGGGTGTGTGTGTTTACTTTTTACTCTTTTTGGCTCTTCTGGGGGGCCGCCACCCAGCTCCCAAATAAATCACACATGGAGGCTTATTTTTAGTTATACATGCCTGGCCTTAGCTTGGCTTGTTTCTTGCCAGCTTTCCTTAACTTAAATTATCCCATCAACCTTTCGCCTCTGGGCATTTTCCTTTCTTACTTCTGTATATCTTACTTTCACTCTTACTCCGTGGCTGGCCCCTAACATCCTCCTCTTTGCTCTCTTGCTCCCTCTTTTAATTTTCTCCCCCTGCCAGCCCCGCCTTTCTTTTCTCCTGCCTTGCTATTGGCCATTCAGCTCTTTATTAGACCATTGGGTGTTTTAGACATGCAAAGTAACACAGCTTCACAGAGTTAAACAAATGCAATATAAACAAAAGTAACGCACCTTAAAATAATATTCCATAGCAGTCTAGACTCAGTCCACAGGGCAGGAGAAGTCACAAGGTGTGGGTGTGTTCTATGATCTGGAGTTCAAATGAGTTTGTGAAAATGAGCAGGTTCTTCAGGAAGTTGGTGATGCTAATTGAGACGTATAAAAGAAAATATCAAAAGACATTAATTCCAGCCAGAATAGCAAAAATAAGCAATCTTACAGAGCCACATGGGCTCCTCAGCTTTCCTTTCCTGGAGGCAGAGAGCAGCACAGGGCCTTGGCAAGCTGCTGAGCAGAAACAAACAGGGACCACAAATCACCAAGGACTGTTCACTTCTGTCAAGCTTTCCGGGACACTTTTGTTAGATCTGAAGGCTGACAATTCGCCCTGGGCACTTTATGTCACAAAGGGTAAGACAGACTCTCACAAAAGGGCTTCTCTCCAAGCCTCAGGGTTTTGCCTGAAAGCAAGAGAAAATCTTGATTTCCGAATCTAGGTGCTGAGCCAAACCAACGCACCATGGCTGCAGCTGACACACCTTCTAACCTCTCTCCTTCCTCTGCCTTGTCCCTACCTCCCTGTTTATTTCAATCGAAATTAATTCAATGGTTGGGGCTTCCATTTCCTTCTCCACTCGCATTTTTCTTTTTCTCATTTTTAATCCCCTAATGTCTTACTCCTTCAGATAATACTGCTCGGATTCTAACCAGGAGATCCGGCTTTCGGCAGCAGGAGCAGAGCGTCTTCTACCTGCCCATCCTCATAGCAGACAGTGGACAGCCAGTTCTCAGCAGTACCGGCACACTTACCATCCAAGTGTGCAGCTGCAATGAAGATGGCCACATCATGTCCTGCAGCCCAGAAGCCTACATGCTCCCAGTCAGTTTGAGCCGGGGTGCTCTCATTGCCATCCTGGCCTGCATCTTCGTCCTCTTAGGTGAGTTGGTGGCTCCGTGTGTGTGTCCGTGTGTGTCCGTGTGTGTCCGTGTGTGTGTGTGTGTGTGTGTGTGTGTGGTGTGTGTGTGTGTGGTGTGTGTGTGTGTGTGTGTGTGTGGTGTGTGTGGTGTGTGTGTGTGTGTGTGTGTGTGTGTGTGTGTGTGTGTGTGTGTGATGAGGGGGGGGAGTCCATATGCTTTTAGACATGAGTCAGTTAACTCCCTATTGCAGCTACTCAGAACTGGTCTTCTTCTGCCAAGCTTACTTCAGAAGGCGGGTAGAGTGAAGCTTGGAGAAAAGTACAGAAGTTGATGACAGTCTCTTTCCTCAAGGCCTCTTTGGCAAGACTAGAGCAGATGGATTGATCAAGTATCTATTGTAGGTCTGAACACCATCCTAGGCACTGGGATTAATGAGACAGAAACACCCTGGCCTTCATAGTTTACTTCAGGTGACACAAGTTCATATTGACATGCTAGAACCAAAATTACATGGGAGAGGATATGATAGTCATATCTTCAGATCCATTTTTAATAAGTAGCAGCTGAATCACGGAGATTGAACAAAAGGCCCAAAGCCAAATGTCCGAAGCAAAGCCAGGTCTGACAAGGAGGCAGGCCATGCACTGGTCCCCCTTCCTCGGTGGCACTCTTCTCCTGGATGTTCACGCACAGATGCTACAGGTAGTTAAGTGTTAAATTCCTAGTGCTGTTTCCACAAGAAAGAAAATATAATGCACTAGGAATTTTAATTAAAATAGACTTTCAGGCAAGCATGTATATTCTTGATCTCTACTTTACCTGAACACCAAGACACTGAGTCATACCAAAGAAAGAAATTCACTGTAGAAAATGTCAGTCAGCATTGCACTGACTTTCTACGTAGGATTGTGGAACAGACTTCTCAAAGTACATTTTAAAATATAATGTGGGCTTTGGTCATATTTTGGGTGTTCCATCTTACATTATGAGAAATGAACATAAATAACCCTCCAGAGACAGTTGTTATGGCTCCTGGCCCTTGGCTGTATGGACAAGTAAAACCTACCTGTAATTCCTGAAGTGTCCATAAGGTGGCACTGGGAGACCTTGAGTGCAGAACAAGAAATGTGGTTTTTCCTCTTTTTAAGTAACCTGCTCCTAGGAGAAATTTCCAGGATGGCTGGCCTTGCTTCTGTCTTTGGAAAATGCTGTAAGTTCATCCTGGCCCACAAAGAGCCAACATTACAGGACTGATTAAAGAGACTGGCACAGAGTGCTGTGCAAGAGATAATTTAGTTTGTAAACTAGGAGCCATCTTTTAAACTGTACAGAGTCAGATGTTTCCAGAAGCCAAGGTAAACATGAGTGTCATAAAATCCCACTAGTTTCACGCTTGTTTACTTCTAAAAGAGCACAACCCAGGTTAAACACAATTCACACAACTCCAAGGTTGATTTGTGTACACACACACACACACACACACACACACACACACACACACACACGGATAATTAAACATGCTCATTTGGACAATATTTACTTTGGGAGGTGGACTTTTTTCATGCATTGGGCATGTATGCAGTTATGCAGTTCCTAGAAAACCTTGTGGCCCTGTACACCACACCTACAGAACATACAGCATCAGCCTTCCCAGGACTGATATTCTTCTCTCTGAACTCGGACATTCTTCATCTGAGTAGAACTGTTTTTCCTCAAAATTTCATTTTAAGGCATAATTTAATGCTCATTATTTATAACAGATTTTATGTCTAAAAAAAATAAGGCAAGTTGATACTTATTCTTCAGGAGCTGACTAGTTCTACATCTGCCTAATTCTGTAGACCTATCAAAATTCTCTCCAGCATATACTTAGAGTTTTGATGGGTTTTGTTTTTGGTTTTATTAAATATAGGGTTTTTTTCTTGTATAATATATTCTGATTATGGCTTCCCCTCCCTCTTTTCCTCCCAGTTCCTCCTCATCTCCCTCCCATCCAGATCCACCCCTTTCTGTCCCACATTAGAAAAGAGGCTTCAGGAGGACAATAACAAAATAAAATGTAGTAAGATAAAAACAAAAGCAAACACTTTGGAAAAAATAAGACAAGGAGAAGGAAAAGAGCCCAAGAAAAGGCAGAAAGAAAAAAAATACAAATGCAGAGACACATTCATTCCTATACTCAGGAAACCCATAAACACACAAAATGGAAGCTATTATTTAAATGCAAATGGCCTGTGGGGGAGGGAGAATACAAAAATAGAAATAAAATAAGTAAAAATTAAAGAAATAAAATTTTAAAATAAAAGGCCCTGACATGACTTTATAAGACAAGGAACCTCCATAGATGCTGTTGAGTTCCCTTTCTGTCGGCCATCTCCTACCGGTCATGCAGCCTACCGTAAGAGTACTTTTTTTTAACCCGGTGAGATTCTCTTGGAGGAAACTAAATTTTCATTTGCAAGTGGTTATCAATTGCAAGTAGCTTCTGGGTTAGAGACTGGAGGAGGCATGTGTTCACTTCTCTCAGCTCTAGGATGGGACCGGTGCAGGCCCTGTGCATGCTGCTTCAGTCTCTAAGAGTTCATATGAACTTTGATCATGTTGATTCAGAGGGCTTTGTTCTCCCAATGTCCTCCATCCCCTCTGGCTCTCTTACTCTGCCACCTTTTCCTTAGAGTTCCCTCAGCCCTGAGGGGAGGAATTTGATGAAGACAACCCATTTAGAGCTGAGTGTCCCAAGGCACCTCCTTTCTCTCTCTCTCTCTCTCTCTCTCTCTCTCTCTCTCTCTCTCTCTCTCTCTCTCTCTCTCTCTCTCTCTCTCTCTCTCACACACACACATGGATGAGCAAAGCACTGATCTATGAGTGTAGCAAAATGTCATTTGGAGTCATTTTACTGTTACATTCTTTTACTACTACAACAGTAGTATTGGTTTTTACCCTAGGTCCCTGGGCTATCTAGTCTCGGGTTCTTTTCAACCAATCAGTGTCAGGAGTATCATCTCATGGAATGGATCTTAGGTCAAATAAGATATTGGTAGGTTATTTCCACAAGCTTTGTGACACTATTGTACTAGCACATCTTGAAGAAAGGACACCATTATAGACTAGAGGGTTTGCAGCTGGGTTGATGTTTACCTCACTCCTTTGGCAGCCTTCAGTGTACCTTCCTGTACCAAAGACACTAGCTCTACTTCTCCATGTTCAATGAGCTGTGTTTGTATTGTCTTCAGCAAAGAGGTCTTGCCATCTATTTGTAGAGAGCAGCCTATAGATTTGGCAATAGCCTGGGTTGTTTGGGGATTCCTATGGGACCTATCTGGCTAACAATTCAATTAGCTGCAATCCATTCTCAGTACTGGAAGCTTCATTCGGTGACAAGGGATAGCCAGTTAAGGCTCTGTCTCCCTGACTGTTTGGCAATTTTTTTTTAGATCACATTCATTTATGTATATATTTTAGGAAATTCAACTGTATTAGACTTCCATACTGCCCCTCAATTGGCCCCTAATTTTAGGTGTCTCACCCCATATTCCCTCCTTAGTCCCCCTCTCATCTCTCCTTCCCCACTTGATTCTCCCATTCCAGTCTGCCCTGCCTCCATATCCATCCATAACTATCTAATCTATTTCCCTTTTCTAGGGAGATCTATGTGCCTCACCTAGTTCCTTATTCTATACCTGACCTCTGTGGTTCTACAGATTGTAGCTTGATTATTGTTGACTTAACAACTAATATTCCATGTAAGTGAATGCATACCATATTTGTCTTTCTGGGTCTGGATTACCTCATTCAGAATGATTTTTTTCCTAGTTCTATTCATTTACTTGCAAATTTCATTTGTTTAATGGCTGAGTAATACTCCATTGTAAAATGTACATTTTCTTTAGCCATTCTTCTATTGAGGGATTTCTTGGTTGTTTCACCTTTTTGGCTGTTGAGTAGAGCACCAATAAACACAGTTGAGCAAGTGTTTCTGTGGTAGGATGAATCGTTTTGGTATAACTAGATCTTGAGGTAGATTGATTCCCATCTCCCCTAGGAACTGAGACACTGATTTCCATAGTGGCTGTACAATTTGCACTCCCAATAGCAATGGATAAGCGGTCCCCTCACTCCACATCCTTGACAGTATGAAGTGTCCTTTGTTTTATTGATCTTAGCCATTCTGATAGGATGAAATCTCAAAGTAGTTTTGGTTTGCATATTTCCCTAGTGATTAAGGATGTTGAACATTTAAAGAAATGTTTCTCAGCCATTTGAGTTTCCTCTTGTGCCCCATATTTTAATTGGGTTATTTATTTTCTTGATATAATTTTTTTTAGTTCTTAATATATTTTGGATATTAGTCCTCTATCAGATGTATAGTTGTTAAAAATCTTTTCCCATTCTGTAGGCTGTCATTTTGTTCAAATGACCTTGTCCTTTGCCTTACAGAAGCATTTCCGTTTCATGAGTCCCATTTATTATTTGTTGATATTAGTGCCTGTACTATTGATATTTTGTTCAGGAAGTTGTCTCCTGTGCCAATGCATTCAAAGCTATTCCCAACTTCTTCCATCAGGTTCAGTGTGTTGGGTTTTGTTTTTAAAGTCTTTGATCCACCTGGACTTGAGTTTTGTGCGTAATAAGTAGCCATTAGGATTATTGTACATGCAACCATACAGTTTGGCCAGCACCATTTACTGAAGATGCTGTCATTTTTACATTGTGTAGCACTAGTTTCTTTATCAAAAATCAGTGTACACAGGTATCTTC